GAGCAGCACTTTCTGATTAGGAACAAAATCATCAATGAGAAATAATTGTAAATAACTTTTTATATGGACAAGCTTAATGTCTGGGAAGTATAATTCCTTGAACTCTTAAAGAAATATACTGATGACTTTGCTCTTACTTTCCTTTTTCCTTTTGGGTGTTTAAGGACATACAGTTGGCCCAAATAAATCAATTTATTTTTATCCTTAAGATCATTTGAAGATCTGTTCCTCAGGGGTTACATGGGCTTGGTATAAGCTCCTGGCTCCTATCTTTTACCAGTTCCATCTATGTGAAGATAAGTCAAAGGTCCTGCTCGACCATGTCTGGCTTCACTTGGAAGCATGAATGATTTGGGTGTTTAAGGACATACAGTTGGCCCAAATAAATCAATTTATTTTTATCCTTAAGATCATTTGAAGATCTGTTCCTCAGGGGTTACATGGGCTTGGTATAAGCTCCTGGCTCCTATCTTTTACCAGTTCCATCTATGTGAAGATAAGTCAAAGGTCCTGCTCGACCATGTCTGGCTTCACTTGGAAGCATGAATGAAATGTTTCCTCTGAGTTGACCCTCCTCTTTGTAGACTGGACACTGGTTCAAGTCCATCTCGTGGGGTCTCCATGGCCTCCCTGAACAAGAGGACAGGTGACTCACCCCAGTTATAGGACAATTTTGAGAGATGTTCCATAGTGCACTGGAACTTAGTTGACCTTGGAGGGCAAAGGGGAAAATCTGTCCTTTAAGTCCCTCTGACCACATCAGTATAGGCCTTAAAGTATGGCTGTTAAATGTCCAATAAGGTTAGTTCCACCAGTCTGATACTTTTAATTACCATGTGTTATGTAGATAAATCTTGTGTAAAAAAACAAAAATTATCAGATAAACCTTGACTAGGCATATACTTTGCTCCTTAAACTAGTTAACTAAACTTTTTTTTAGATTATATGTATACTATTTGTGTCTCATCCTTTATATATAACAAACCTAAACAGACCTTCTTAGGCTTTCTCATTTTTTCTATTTTGGAAAATATCTCCATTCCCATACCTTTTAACATCTTACATTCTCATTTTCTTTTTTTAAACAATTATGAGACATAATGGCATAACAAATAAATTTTCCATCTGTTGTGAGACTTCTTTTCTTGGGTATGCTAAGCAATGCTTATTCCCTTTTAAGGTTCTAGTGTCAAGCCAATGTTTGATTAAAGTTTTACTGGGGAACCAATGAATTTATTGAAATTACTTACTGAGATAGCTGAGGGGTTGTTGAGGTGTATGTATAACCTGAGGGTATGCACACTGGAAAGCCTTTACCCAGGATAGGTCATGCCTTCTCTTCTTAGCCTTCCCCAGATTGTATACTTTAGCATATGTGTGTACATGTGTTAGTGTGTACATGTGTATGTCATGAAAGCAGAAAGGGGACCATGGGAGGAGAGAAAGAGATCTCAATGAAGGGAGGAGAGGACAAAAGAAGGTAATGGAATAAATGTGACACAGAAGCAGAAAATTGTTTGGAAGGAGGAAGGAGACCAGCAAGAAGTAGGGTAAGATGAATGGGGAGGAAGGTGTGAGGGGGGATGAATGAGAATATTCTGCACTGACATGTAAGTATGAAAATCTCATAAAACCCATCACTGTGTATGCTAACTTAGAAAACCAACTTTAGGGGTCTACATAAACAGCTTAGTACTTAATAGTGCTTGCTGCTCCTACAAAGGACCAGAGTTTGGTTCCTAATACCCATGTTGGATGGCTCACAACTACCTGTAACTCCAGCTCCAGGCAGATCTAAGCACCACTTCTGGTCTCCACAGGCAACCAGACTCATGCACAAACACACACATGCACATAATTTTCTTCAGGATCTCTTGATGAGGAGTTGGGACACAGGATGTCATACATAAGCCCAAGCCCTCAGTTCCTGCATGGCTCCTTCCTCCAGTTGGGCTCCTCAGATGAGACCTGTGCCCAGGCCAATACCTGCAGCTCAGCCATGAGCAGCAGCTGTACCATCTACAGTTGACTCCCCTGTCGCTGCATCCAGGCAGCCAGCCTTGATGCCGGTGGGCTGTGGGTTCTGTCATGGCACACACACAGGGTCACACTGGAGGCTTCAGTGGTAATGCCAAGCCCACAAAGCTTTCATTATTTACCAAGAGCTTCTGGGAGCCCAGCCAATGGAGTAGTGGTCTGATTATCCTTGCTTTTGTGAGATCATTTTTTTTCTTTGAGATCAGATGGAGTGGGCCCTTGAGTGTTTCAACCAGGAACTGAAACAGTGACAGATTTGCAAATAGATTCACCCAATCAATGAGTTCAAACTGAGAAATGGAAAATCTGCTCTGATGACCAAGTACAATAAAAATATAATTGATAGTGAAAGTGTAAAACTCTAGGTTAAACTGCTTGTTAGTAATAGCTCCATTGCTTCTGACTGGCCATGAAGAGTGTGTTCTGACAGTAGAGGAGATATTGAGATGTACAGTGTCTGGGACTGAGCAAGTGTTTGAATGGCCTCCTTAAACAAGCTCTGCAATGTTTTAATGTGAATTAAGTTGAATAAAGTGATTTTATTAGACAATCTTTTAAAACATGGGAAAGAGGTTAGAGAGATGGCTCAGTGGTTAAGAGCGCTTACTACTCCTGCAAAGGACCCAGGTTCCGTTCCCAGCACCCATATCAGGCAGCACATAACCACCTGTAACTCCAGCTCCAGGGGGATTCAGTACCTCTAGCCTCTACTCACACACAGACCTACACATATAAACATAATTAAGAATAATAAAATAAATCTTGTTTTAAAAAATGGGAAAGGGAATAGAAGATTGAAAAACAACCTCCTTTCTTAAGAATGTGATCTGGGGCTGGAGAGATGGCCCAGTGGTTAAGAGTACTGGCTGCTCTTGCAGAGGACCCTCGCTCAGTTCCCAGCATCCACATGGTGGCTAACAACCATCTGTGACTCCAATTCCAGGGTATCCAATGCCTTTTTCTGACCTCTGTGGGCATTGCACAACATGGGTGCACTTATATACATATAGTCAATACACCCATACACATAAAATAAAATTTATAAATTAAAGATTTTTAAAAAGAATGTGATCCAAAGGGTGGATACATCTTAGTCTACTTCCCACTAGCCCCAGGGCCACACCACACTGTGAGAGAGGCAGTGGTTACAGGCCCACCAACTGGAGAGAAAGAGTTGCGCTGAGAAGATTTCTGTAGAGAGCATCTCATTCCAGAGTCCTTGACCCGCAGAGCTGAGCTCAGAGGACTGGAGATGTCCCTGCACTGAGTTCTACCTCTCACAAAGTAGATCCCCTTTGTGAACCTTAGCTGTAAAGAAGAGATTTACAAATCTTTTCAGTCAGTTAATGACAGATCTGAGTCTGATGTCCAAGATTGCTCTTAAATCAGGGCCCTTACCATTTAACTACATTACATTGTGACCTCATTGTTTCCTTGTCACACTGTCCCATATGTTTGGAAAAGTGCCAACCAAAAGGAAACCAGAAGTCTCATTCTGAAAACTTTTCATAGGAAAATTGAATGCCTGGCTTCATTACATATCTATTTGTTAGATATTTAGTGTCCATTAATCTTCTAGTAGAAGATTTTATTCTTGCTTTCATTGGGTGGGATGCCTAAGCAGTAATGTAATCAACCCCTGGGGTAATATTCCCTGATCCCAAGCCTGTGTGCACCTGTGGTTTACTGTTTCTCAGAGGAAGATATGAAACAGGATGAAGGAGTGGATGAGAATTAATTTTTTTTTTTCATCGGTGAGGGAGGAACCCTTTATAATAGATCCTGAGGCTCCAATAAAAGCATTCACTGCACCTGGAAAACACAGAACAGATTCATCAGCAGGGAACCAGCATGGCTGATAAGTCCAAGTTTGTTGAGTACATTGATGATGCTTTAGAAAAATCAAAAGAAACGGCACTTTCTCACTTATTTTTCACATATCAGGGGATTCCTTACCCAGTTACCATGTGCACTTCAGAAACTTTTCAAGCCTTGGATGCCTTTGAAGCCAGAAGTGACGACATTGTGCTAGCATCTTATCCAAAGTGTGGTAAATAATGCCTTTTCCTATGAGTACATTTTTCGTAGTGTGTAGGTTGGGGAGGATGCAAGGCCACAGTGGGGAAAAGGTGATTTATCTCTGCATGGAACTAGCTGGAAATCATCAAAGAGGCGGGCCAAGATGGTCAAGTACACAGGTTGTTCAAGCACTGGAGGTTAAATACCCCAGTGTCTAAAGGAAGAGGCCTGTGTACAAAGGTCGTGGCAGATGATGGGTGGTGGGAGGAAGTGGATGGTGGGACTAGAAGGACGAAACATGATTTTTGACAGAGGACCGAAGCATACCATTTCTATCATTTATATAATGATTTTCCATGTAGTAGACTATTCTCAGTATCAAACATCCATCCTCCTTCTTCAGTGGAGGAGGAAACATTAAGAATTTAACTTATTCTATTTTATATCCTCACCTTTTTTGTTTTGTTATATTTTAATTTTGAGACAGATCCAGGCTGGCCTCAAACTCATGATCTGCTTTGGCCTTTGGCTAGGCTTACAGGTGTGGGCTAGTGTACCCTGTTGCACCATCTAACTATGTTTTTTTTCAACAGTTGTTTATTAAAGCCAATTTCACTTGACATTTTTCTTTCTCTTATTCAATGCTGAGTTTCTTTCAATTAATTTATTTGCTTATTTTATGTGTATGAGTGTTATGCCTGCATGTACATTAAGTGCACCTGTGTCATGCAGTGCCTGAGGAGGCCAGAAGAGGGCGCTGGATCCCTTAGAACTGGAGTTACAGATGGTTGTTAGCCACCATGTGGGTTCTGGAATTTGAACCCAGGTCCTCTACGAGAGTAGCCAGTGCTGAGCCATCTCTCCAGCCTCCCAATGCTGAGTTTTTAAAATTAAAAATTATATACTTTACAGTTAATTGAAGGTCAAATATAAGATAAACAGTCATTTCTACACCAGAGCATTGTTCTTCAAGGAACATGTTCTACATTTAAGGTAAAACATTGTGTTAAGTAGACATCTGAGCCTGACATGGTGGTGAACACCTGTAAGGTCAACATTCAGGAGGCTGAGGCAAGTGGTTAATGAATTAGAAGCCAGTCTGGGGTATATGGCAAGATCCTGCCTCAGAAAAAGGGAGGAAGGAAAGAAGGAAAGGAGGGAGGGAAGGAAAGGGAAGGGAGACATGTTTAGAATACATCAAACTTCATAAATGGATGCTCTTTTCTACAAAATTATTTTTTTCATACCCCAGGTTGTTTCAAACTTAAAAGAAGTAAGTGTACATATCAAGGAGTAGTTGATGATTTCAATTTTCATCACATATATGCTAAAATAAAAAGGTTTCGTCATCAAGACTCCTTAATGAGTTTCTATTTTGGGGGTTTTGTTATAGGTTCGAACTGGATTCTTCACATTGTCAGTGAATTAATATTTTCCATTTCTAAAAAGAAATATGAATGTCCTGAATTTCCAGTTCTTGAATGTGGTGACCCAGAAAAGTATCAGGTTAGTAGAAACAGCCTTTCAGCTTATAGCAAATCATGACAGGAAGATTACTTCCATTTTGTTGTCTTGAGTACTGAGTTCAGAAAGTATTAAAATAGCACAATAATGGTTGTAATGTATTGACTTCTTATCATATCCTTGGTCATTTTCAGGCGTTATCTCATTTTATCACAAAATAACCTTATCATCATTTCACAAAAGATGAAACGTTTAACCTTGCCCAAGGTCAAGGAGATAGGAAACTGGCAGAGACAAAATTTGAATCCAAGCTTTCTGATCTGAGTTCTTAAAGGATATAATATATAGCTGTCCTTACTCCTGGCAGTAACTTTTAAAACTTGGGGTAAAAGTAATTTGAGAAACCCCAGGAAATGGATTAAAGTCAAAAAAATTAAAACTTTTATCTCTGAGACACTGGCACCGACAGTATTTAGGCATGCTAGGCAGAATCCCCAATCTTTGCTAATGAGACATTTTTGATTTCCCTGTCTTAGTTAAGCCTGTTGTGTATGTGAGCAATGGGGAAGGACCAAGTAGTAGTTAAGAGGGTAACACTGAGGCTGGAAAAATGGCTCAGCAATGAAGAGAGAGCACTGTTCTTGCAGAGAACTAGAGTTCCATTCCCAGCATCCACATCAAATAGCTCACACCCACCTCTAACCCCAGCTCCTGGGTTCCAATTCCTTTTGGGCTCTGAGGGCACCTACACTCACATGCACAGACACAGACACATGATTAAAAATAAAATAAATATTTTTAGAAAGAAAGTAAAGTCACTGAAGAGTGTTCAGAGAATCAATGGAGCTTTCCACCTGCTATTGCTACTCAGTCCCAATACAACTGCCTGGGACTTGAGTGTACAGGAACTTCTGCTTCCTGCCCAAAGGACAATCTGCCTCAGGACCTTGTGCTTGGACAGAGTAGGAAGAAAGTGAACATCCTCTCTGCACCCCTAGACAATGAAAAAGGGAAGGGAGGCTGGATTCAGGGGGAACCACCATTTTCAGTAAAATTTTCAGAAGTGTTCACCACTAAGCCTCCCCAGAAAGCAGATAAAACTGTTGCTATATGAAAGTCACTGGATTGGGACTTGGGGAACAGCTTCTGGGAAGTAACCATACTTGACATGATTGACAACTACAAACTCCAAAGTTGGAATCTAGGTAGAAAAGAGAGCATTTCCATGGATTTGGAAAAAGTAGCAGCAAACCTTATTGTGAGTGAAGTAGATGTTTTAGAACTTGGGGCTGAAGAGGGGCAAATGCTAAATCCTGGTTCAGGGTGGCAACCAAGGTACCTCGGGAGACATCAGAGGGGTTAGCAGCTACATTAGGGCCTGGAGTCCCACACCTGGGCGGGGGTCATCTATCCTCCAGAACGTCTGGTGGAGGCTCAGGCAGGCTCAGGCTACAGGCCAGAAGAATGGACAGGAGCTTGAGGAAGGTTTTATTGAAGTAAAATGGAGCAGTGAACAGCCTCATCAGCCTTCACATAGCCTGGCTCCTAATGAGAACATGTATCATTGCTTTTAGAAATGATGCTCAGCTTCCCAACCTCTATTTCAAACCCCATTACATCATAGGCCATAACATTTCTTACTCTGCTTGTCTGTGTTCTTACCGCTCACCAATACAAACAGGTTTGTTTTATGATTGAAATAGAGTTTGGGCTGCTGAATAGTTAGTTCTCACATTATGTATAGAATTGTTTCTCCAGGAAACTGTATTTTAATTTCAAAAAAATGATCTCAAAAGTATACAACATAAACCTCTTCTGAGTGGGGGACCCCATAGAACATTGTTTACTGATGCTGGGAAGAGTTTTTATTGTCAAAACAAAATTTTCTGAGACAGGATGTCGTGTCATCCAAGCTGGTCTCAAACTCTCTATGTAGCCAAGACTGACCTTGAACTCCTGATTCTCCTGCCTCTACCTCCCAAACGCTGGGATTACAAGCATGTAGTACTATACCCAGTTTCTGATCAAGATTTTTGTCATGTCAGGACTTGACTCAGAAGTTAAGCATCCTTGGAACCCTCTCTTCCTCTCATGGAAAGCATTGTATTCCTAAACCGAGGATTTTTTTCTGATTCACCTACTTCTCTAATGTGACTGTAAAACAAAGTATTGCTCTGTCTTAAGATCTTTGCCTTCTCAATCATAGCTCTAATTATGAGAGGCAAAGTTGTACTTTTTGTTAAAGAAATTTCTAGCTTTAGTGAAGAGATCTAGATGGCTTTTCAGCTGAGGAAGTCTTTTAGAAGTATCTGAATTCACTTTAAAATATTCAGTAAAGTGAATGAAGTATAGGCTCCTAATGTAGCCAAGTCTGTGCCATTTGACACATGTGCAAACACCAGGAACTGACTCTAAACTGTGCCTTGTTCAGGGTCAGCAATCTGAGAAGATGGTGGATTAGTATCCTAAAGATGTCTTAAAGCTCATCTTTAGCCAGCAGATTACATAGGGAGAGGAAACAAAGTCAGTCACTTAAGGTTTAGCCTTGTTCCTCTGGTCTCTGAGATGTATGGTGTTGTTGCTTGTCCCTTCTCTGCAGTAGGAGGAGGGCTGGTTACCAAGGACACTGAGTCTTACAGTCTTCCTGAGCCTCTGTTTGGATGACATCCAGACTGAAGGTCAACTCAGAACAAATATTAGCAGAGTGTGTGTGTGTGTGTGTGTGTGTGTGTGTATAGATTCCTTCCTACATAATGAAGCACAAATGTGTTCTTATAATACAGACTATAAAGTTCCTCCATCACTAGCTTCAGAATTTCTGGAAAATTTTTTAACTCTGTATAATATTTTGGGTTTTGATATCCACAGTGTATCAGAAATGGTTTTTAAAATTTTTATGTGTACCATGAGTGTTCAGTGCCCACAGAAGCCAGGAGAGGGTGTTGGGTCCCCTGGAACTGGAGTTACAGATGGTTGTGAGCTGTCATGTGGGTGTTGGGAACTAAAACCAGGTTATCTGCAAGAGCAGCCAGTGCTCAGTCATCTCTCAAGCTCGTGAAATGTATTAATTTTTTTAATTCAGGTATTTTAGAGGCATTTGTATTTCAATTATAATTGCATTGTGATTATGCAATGTGCCTTTTATTTTTAAATGTAAATCATTAACGTGAAAAGGTAAGTTTCACATAATAGTAATTCAGTTTACAAGAATCATTCCTACAACATGTATACTTCCTTAAAGAAGACCTACTTGCAATCAGTCTTCATACTGTTTACAGTTTGGCTACATTATACATTTCTATGAATAAAATATTGTACATTTATCTAGTTTTGAGACTGTTAACTTCGTGTTCTTCTTGGCTCTTGAGTCCTTCTAGTAACTGTCATTCTGCATGTGCCATTGTGTGATTTGGGGCCATGTGGTGTAATACAAACAGTACATTATCACTTAAGCTGAAAATTACCACCTACTTGATGTTGCACAAAGCATTTAAAGCTCTAAGCCTAATCTTAATCTCTAAAATGAAGGTTCTAATATCTACCTGAAAAGATTGTCATGAATGAATGTAAAAGTATTTCAAACACTAAAAATTGCTCAAACTTTATCACCATGAATCACCACCTGGACCCATATCATTGATTAAATTCTTCCCTTTTAAAAAAAAAGTCTTGGTTTTGCCCTCTTGTTTGAGTTGAACTCTCTACTAAAGCTTTACAGAGTTGTCTATAAATGTGTAAATATCGTTTAATCACTTAATGAGTTCCAGAGTAGCTTGATCTCCACAAATCTGGACCTGAACATAGTGAAAGCTTGTCCTCTGCAGAGCAATGTCAAAGGGTTGATTATAAATGAAAACCCTTGATTATGTGGCCTAGAACTCATTATGTAGCCCTGGCTGCCTTGAATTTGTGATCGTCTTGCCTCAATTTCCTAGTGCTGGGATTATAGGTGTACACCCCCACACCTGGCCATAAAACTTTATTTTTTTTTAATTATCAGTAGAAATAAATAACAGAAAAAGTCCATTAGTCTATATTTCTCATACTAACAAGAACTTCATAAAATATTTTTCAGATATTTATGTGACTGGGGACTTCAGATTCTGTCAGATTATTTGATCGTATGGTAATTTAGTTAGCTAAAAATAGATCTGGGGGCTAGATTGATGTCTCAGTGGGTAAGAAAACACCACATAAACATAAGGACCTGAGTTCAGATCCCAGGACCCATGTAAAAAGCCTGGTGTACCTAGAACCCACTGCTGTGGGGCTTGGAGACAGGAAGGTGGCTAGGGCTTGCTGGCTGTCAACCTAGCTCCATGTTTAGTAAGAGACTTTCTCAAAGGAGTAAGATAGTGGCAGAGAAGAACTCCAGTGTCTTCCTCTAGTCTCTGCAACTATGTGTACAGGCACACGCACACTCACATACTCTCACAAGCATATACACACACATACACACACATATATGTACTCACACATACTGTCACATACACACACACACATACACATGCTCTGTTCTACACACATGGACCCTTTCACACACATAGTCTCTCTCATTCATTTACCTTATTGTGTATATTTTTAAGAGAATGAAACAGTTTCCATCACCACGGATTTTGACAACTCACCTCCATTATGACAAATTACCTCAGTCCATCCTCAAGAACAAAGTCAAGGTGAGTGTTCCTTCCCAGATATAAATTATTTTGAAATTTTTATGTAGAAACTGGAATTTTTTCAATTTCTCTGTTTTTTTGGTTGTTATTTTTTTAATTTTGCTTTTTGGTAGTGTTGAGATCAATCCCAGGCCTCACACATTTGAGGCAAGAACTCTACAACTGAGCTCCATTCCTACTCCCATATTTATCGGCTTTTGATGAAATGAGTTTTCTTCTCATTGTGGAATTGCAGAGTGAAATGTGAAATTTAGCATTTCTTTTGCTGTTTCTTTCTTCAGATGAATTTGCTGTGGTTGTACTCAACTCAAACACATTTCAATTAGTATATAAAATACATACAGAATAAAATGTGTTGTTTTTTGTAACTGGTTTTACAATTGATGGATTTCAGAATCCCACAGAATCAAAAGTATAAGATGAAAAAAAAATCTCTTTGGTTCTTCCTAGTGAGCACTGTTTGCCTGAAATCTGTTATTTTTTAATTCCACATATAATAATCTTTGTTATTGAAAATACTCTATTGAATATATTCAAATATTGAATTATTGTTGCTTTGATTACTCATATACTATTTGTTTAAAAATCGTATACCATGAAGCCACATGGTGGTACACGCCTTTAATCCCAGCACTTGAGAGGCAGAGGCAAGTGGATCTCTGTGAGATCAAGGCCAGGCTGGTCTACATATTGAGTTCCAGGCCAGCTGGGGCTACAGGGAGACTCTGTGTCAAAAACCAAAAAAGAAAAGCACTCAAGAGGCTGAGGCAGGAGGTTGTAACTTTGAGAGTAGCCTACGCTACAGAGTAAGACTGTCTCAAATTTTTAAAAATTTTGTTCATTAATATTGGTTGTATTTCTTATATTGTTGTGTTTCTTATACTTACTAGTTTTATAACCTAAAATTTTAAATTAATATTTAAAGTTAGCATACAAAGTAATAGGTTCAATGGTACCATTTTCATGCATATATGTGCTTACACTTTGTTCTCATTCTCCCACTCTACCCCTACTCCTGCTGTCCCTTCTGTTCTCATGTCACATGTATTATTGTTGCTAAGAAATCTTTTCCCTCATTTCCCACTCTCCTTTGATACATGACATTATAAGGTGGTTCTAGAAATGCCTTGGAAGGAATTAGAATCTGGTAAGGGAAAACCAGGAGCCACCAGGGTTGTTTAAGGAGTTTAGTACATGTCCTTTCCCTGTAAGTGCGGTTTCTGATGAGATTCCTAGAAAACTGCAGTTTGCAGCTGGGGAAGGAGAAAGGCCTTAAGCAGTTGTTAATTGTACTGTAATTCTTGCTTCTCCACTGGCGAGAAGTTTCAACTGGATTCCTGGGTGAGGGACTCCCTCTTTCTTGTCACATCCCCATAATTTCCCCTTTCTATCCTGCCTCATATACCAAGGAATGGTACTATTTTTTTTATTTGGTTGGTTGGTTGATTTTTTTTTTTTTTGTCCTTGTTTATTGTTTTGAGACAGAGTTTCACGTAGCCCAGGCTGGCCTCAAATTTCCTATGTAGCTGAGGTTAACCTTGCACTCCAGATCTTCCTGCTTCTGTTTACCAAGTTCTGGGATTACGGGCACCTCCAAGCCTGAGTATTTTAAGTTTTTGAGGAACATCTGACTTCTATAGTGGCTATACTAGGCTACAGCCTCACCCGCAGGGCGTGTGGGTTCCCTTTCCCAGTCTCGCAGGCTTTTGTTGCCATTTGTTCCCTTGATAATAGCAATTCTTACTGGGATGAACTGGAATCTCAGAAAGTTTTAATTTGTATTTCTCTGATGTCTAAGAACATTAGACACTTTTTCAAATATTTCTACATGACTCTATTAAAGGTTTCTTTGTCCCACATCTGTTCTTAGGGCCACTATCAGCCTTGACTCGTCCTCAGAGGACCTGTGCTGCCCCCTGCTGGTCGCAACTTCCTTCCTTTATGGCCTCAGATCTATTTGGTCAAGAAACTCTGGCCGGTATAAGTTTGTCTCCTTTTCTGAAAGAGCCACGACTTCTGCTTGTTTCTGCATGGCTTGTTTCTGTATGGCCTCAGAACGTCACTTGCATGTTCAGTAGTGTCGAGCTCAGCCTTCAGTTTGAAACAGAAAGTCAGAACGCCTGAATTCACACGGAGCAGCCACGCTGTCTGCCACAGCTCCTCGGTCCTCTTGGGTTTCAGTTCGCTCTTTGCAGTACTTGTTTCAATCCAGCGCAGAGCAGTTTTCCTGCAAAAGAGCACTTTGCTCATTGGACTGGAGACAAGGCGTGGGAATCCAGAGGTTTGGCTTCCTCTGCGCCACATACCTCCTCTAAAGCTTATTACCCTCAAGATAATTTTAATTTTTATTTTACTTGGGAGTTTTACCTTTCAAATCATAGTCTGTGGCTCTGCTAGTGAACGTCCTCTGTTTTGTTCTTAAATGTCTTCTCTCAGGCCTTTTTACAGTCGAAGTCCTGTGTTAGTCAAAGTCCTCTGCCATGTCAATCTCTTTTCCCTTCTTCCCCGTTCCCCAGACTTCATCTGTGATTTACCTGATGTTACTCTTGGGTGTGTATTAACACAATTATACAAGTGGATGCAATGACACTGGTCACCCCTTTCACGATTCCAAAAGCAAAAACATAGATCTAAGTAAATTAACTTCATTTCTGCTCTCTAGATCTTGGTGCTGTTTCGCAACCCTAAGGATACGGCAGTGTCTTTTTTTCATTTTCACAACGACGTTCCCGACATTCCAAGCTATGCCTCTTGGGATGAATTCTTCAGGCAATTCATAAAGGGACAAGGTACAGCTATTAAAAGAATTCTTACTTCAACAGATGAGCACATAAATAGGAAAATGCAGATGTTTCTCAGGGCAAAGACATAATAAAGATTTAGGAAGATCCTGGAACCAAAAGGCTGCACTCAAATGAAGTTTTAAAGCAGTACTACCTCTGTGCATCAAACAATGCATTACTGGACAATTCATTTGTTGACTATGAATCTTGAGTGTTCATAGAACAGATGTGAGACAAAGAAACCCTTAATAGAGTCATGTAGAAAAGTACTTCCAGTTAGCTTTCCTTAAGCACTGTATTATAGTGTCAAGAAACAAAAAAACATAAAAGGTAAAAAGAAAAAAAAACAAAACAATGAACTCGTGCAACTACACCTGAAACATTGGTTTGCCAGAATGTAAATACACTTTTGTCAAGCCGTGTGAATGTTTTACCTCTAGTTAGTCACAACTACTATTTTTTTAACTTTATTTTTTGCTCTCTAACAATTTCACACATGGATATAGTGAATGTTAGTTCTTTTCACCCCCTATTACCTGCCCAGTTTCTGTTTCTTACCTTCTTCAACATTTCCATTAATAAAACATCTGAGTAAGTTGTGAAAACGATCCTAAGAATTCCCCTTCATACTTTCATGTATCTCTGTGAGAGAGAGAGAGAGAGAGAGAGAGAGAGAGAGAGAGAGAGAATAACCCACTGAATTTAAATGGGATTACTTGCATGAATATGGGTGGGAGGTTATTTACTGGAACACAGGCAACTTATCAGTGACTACTCCACTGAAGAAAGTGACCTCCGTTCCCCTGGCAACTGTGAACTGTCAGTAGCCCCTCAGGGAAGCATGGGGTCTCCTAAGCCCTTCCCCCTTCCATGACAAAATGATAAGTACTATTTTCTAAGTGTCTGCTTATGCTTTAGATACTAAACTAGGTGAGGTATATGAATGCTTTCCCTCGAGACTCAACCAACCAGAGTAAAGCCCTATTGCATAGCTGAGGTAACTAACAAAAATGTTCTATCAATTGCTAATTGACCCACTGGTTTAAATGGCAGTGTGTCTGTACCCATGAATATAGTGGTCAGAGGAGAAGCAACATCAGTGAGTCTGTGTTCACGAATATAGTGGCCAGAGGAGAAGCGACTGTCAGTTCTAAGAGGACCACTTTTCTAAAAAAAAAATATATATATATATATATCATTAGATTTAAGATGGACACCACGCTTTGCTACATGCACATAGTGATTATTCCAGTCAAGAACATTTACATATCCATGATGTCACATAGCTACCTGTTTGTGTGTGGAAAGACCACCACACATATTTGCCATTCTCTTAGCAACCTTTCAGTCTGCACTACATAACTGTAATCCTCATGCTGCATATTATACCTATAGACTTATTCACAACTCAGTAACGCAAAACTCCGTCAATGCTGTATCCTCTGACTTACATCTACCCATTTCCTTCCTTCCTCGCCCCGAAAGACATCATTCCGCTTTCTGTATACATTCAACTTTTCAAAAGACTCCACATGTAGGTAAGACTGTGTGGGGGCTTCTTGTTTTGTTTTGTTGTCTGCCTTCTTCCAGTTAACATGACGCCCTCTGGGTTTATTAATGTCACAAATGTCAGCATGTCTATTTTAATATCCCATGGTAATCTATACACCACAATTTGGAAAGGACACTTTAAAAGGTGATTGACACAGAAAATGCCACAATATCCCACAAGTGTGGGCATTACAAACAGAATTATTTCCCTGGAAAAGATTAAATATTGGGATTGAGTCACAGAGCAGCAAGAAAAACCTATAGGCCATGTTTGTGAAGCACCACTAAACATGCCTTGATTTGTCCAGAAACATTTCATAAAGACTGAGGGGAGGCAATCTGAAAGGTCACTCTATTCATAATACAAGGGAACATTCACTGATGAGAATTTTGTTATCCATTGGACAGTCTACTTATCTTTTCCCTCCATGCATTCATTCTGTCTGCTTAATTAGTTGATTGGCAATAAGATGTGGCAGTGTTCATTTGGGCAAAATTGTTGCCTTACAAAGTTCTCAAATTAAGGTTAGAGAGAGAGCTGAACATACTATGGATGCAATGTGACCAGCTGTCTCAAGTTCCTGCCGCTGTGACCTTCCCACAAAGGTGGACTGTGACCTTGAGCTGAGCTGAAATAATCCATCCCTCCTTAGTTGCTTTGTCAGAGTATTTTATCAAAGCAATGGGAAAGAAGCTCAGACACACACTCTCTTTCTGAATTACCTTATACCCCATTTTCATGAATGTCTTGTAGCTCTGATCAAGTCACTTTCACAACTTGCTCAGATGTGTTATTCATGGAAAGTGCTCAAGAAGGTAAGAAATGGATGGGAACTGGACAATGGGCAGGTTTATGCCACCTTTGGGAGCAGACATTTGTAAGAAGCCTATCTTTTTTAGCATATACCTTATGTGTGGTTTCTATTTGCCTTTGTTATGTAAAATTACAAAGCCTTTTTCTCTTGTGTTTTCTAGTTTCTTGGGGAAGCTATTTTGATTTTGCAGTTAATTGGAACAAACATATTGATGATGAAAATGTTAAGTTCATATTATACGAAGACCTAAAAGAGGTGAGACTATGACTATTGATATTCAAGGACAAGATTTATTATAAATTGTAACATATAGCAAACACAATGTCTCATTGTGTGAACAAATAGTATATTTAAGTTTTTAAAATTCTAATATTCTAATATAATGTAATATAGTACTAGAAAAAAGCCCAATCATACACAAATGCTTGGGTTGTTTAACAAAAATAAAATAATGCTTAACAACTTCATAGTAACTGCTTTCTTTTTCCTTTATGATAGACAGTGCATGTTAGTAATGGAAAAACCAAAGTGGATCTCAGTTGATTTAATTGAACATGTATTTGTTTGTAAATTGATTTTTTTTTCCAGCTAGTATTCTTTTTAAAAGATTGTTCATTCACTTAACAAACATGGAGTAAGTGATTGCTCAGCACTGCTTTAGGCCTGAGGAATACATCCACGAATAAACTGGACAAAACTTACTGCCCTGGAGAAACTTCTCTTCCAGCCGGGGAAGACGGAAAGAATGATAAGTAATAAACACAATAAAGATTGAAATGTGTATGATATATGAGAAAAAGAAACAGTATAGCTGGTGAAGGAAAACTGGAAGAGTGAGGGATGGGAATGCTGGAGAGATCCTAGGATGTAAAGTGGTTTCAGAGTTCTCATTAAGGTGTTGTGACTGAGCAGAGAACAGAACAAAATGAGTGTGTGAGCCACATAAGTATGTGCAGGGAGAGCGTTCCAAACCCAGGAAATTGATAGAGAGGAGGTCCTGAGTCGAGGAGCCTGAGGTACAATTAAGGTGTACCAAGGAGGCAGATTTTGCTAGACCAGTAGGAGAGAAGTAGGTCATCAGTCAATGAGGGCCACGTCAAGGCTGTGGGATGGAGTATAAGGAACAGCAGAGCCCTCAAGTGTCTTGGGCCTTCACTCAGAGGACATGAGAAGGTGTGATAGCATTGGGCAGAGGAGCAATAGGAGCTAAAGTGTTCTCAGCAGGCTCATTCTGCTGAGAGAATGGATGGGAGCAAGGAGCATGCAGGGAGACAGACTTCCCTTTTCCAGGCCACAGAAGACAGTAACTCAGTCCAGGAAGGAGCAGTACAGGCGGTGAGAAGGGATTGAATTCTGGAAGGGCCAATCAGATGTGCTTGTGGATAGAGAGGAAGGTGGTGGGAGAAAGACAAGTCAGAAAGACTCCAGTGGCATTGGCCTGGCCTACTGGGATGGCTGAGCTGCCGTCAGCTAAGGACATGACATTAGGTGAAGCTGGACTGTGGGAGATATGAGGGATTTGGATATGTTAAGATGACTGTTAGACATCCTAGTGACAAGGTCAAGGAGACAGCTGAGAATAATGTAGTGAATGCACAGAGAGACAATTAGGGTTTGTAGGTAATATTGGGGAATCACTGACACACAGGTGCATTTAAAGCCATGACATGAGAACACACATCTAGGGATGCAAACAGAAAAGATGACTAAGGGCTGGGTCCTGGAGCTTTTCCACATAAAGAATTTGGAGGAAAAGCAGAGGAATCAACAAAGGGGACTGAGAAGCAGTGGCTGGTGAGGTAGGAGGGCAGTCAGTCCTAGATCCCCATGGAAGAAAGTACATTAAAGAAAATGAGTTTGCCAATGCTACCTGACTTGAGTTCCCAGTTTCTTGTGACTTTCTTACCAAAGACAAGCCTACCCTTTCTGTCTATAGGATGCATTTATGTAGTGGTCATGAGAATATTCTGGGTTGGTCTTTCTATTCTCTAGATTAGAATGTTTCTGAGCCTCATGCTCCATAGAAAAGCAGCTTGCTGCAAATGTTAAAAATTCTTTCTTGGGGATTGGTGGAGGCTGCATATGCAAATAGCTTTAGGAACTGCTGTGGTTTAGAGCCAGCTCCTTCAGAGACTCTGAGAAGAGGCTACAGAAATAAAATCTAATACGACTTGTGGCATAACATACCTGTAATTCTACCACTTAGGAGTTCGAAGTAGGAGGATCCTTAATTCAAGGATGCCTACACAGTGAGTCCCTGTTTCCAAAAGAGGTGTGGCCCAAATTCTCTCTGGGTCTCTCTGGGTTTATGTGTATTTATTAACTTACGAAGGAATGAGTACCCAGTGCCTAGCCCAGCACCGTGCCTCAGAGCCCGCCTTATCAGACTGTGCCACGCCCATAATTCTGCCAGCGATTGCCCCAGGTCCATTAGAAGTCAGTCCATTCTGTCTTTCAGCTGTTGCACATGGCTGTTTCCATGGCTCACGTGCTTCCCCACGGCTGGAGGCTTCCCCACAGCTCGGGGCTTCTCTGGCTTGGCTCAACGCTTCCGTTCCAAGATGGCTCCCAGCTTCCCTTCCTAGTTCCTGCTCCTTGTCAGGCCACGCCCATTGGAGGAACCAGCCAATCGGGAGACAAGAGGTCACTGTTTAATCTAAAGGATTCTAAGTTTATTTGACTTCAACCTGTAGCTGTGTTATATAAAATACAGATTGAGAACTACCTTAGCATCTGCACTAGTCAGACATAGTGTTGAATGGCTCACGATTTACACGCCAGTTAGACAAGGAAAATTTCAAGATTCCCTCACATACCATTCTAAAAATTAGAATTTCTTAGTGAATTAAGCATTAGCTGTAATAAGGATTCCAAAAAAAGAGAAAATTCTAATGAGCACCTGCCAATATATTGATTTCCTCAGCTGATCTAGGCTGATGCTTTTTAGTATAATGAATATTATCACAGATCAAATTCTAACATTCTAATTAATGTTATTATTATTACTCTCTGCATATGTATATGTGTATAATGTGCACGCATGTATTTATTCATGTTCATATGTGTGTGGGTACATGTGTGCACAGGTACATGTGGAGGCCAGAAGTTGACATTGGGTGTCTTCCTTGGTTACTCTCCACTTCAGTTTTTGAGGTAGAGCTTGTGCTCACCAGTTCTGGTGGGTCTAGCTAGCCACCTACCCCCTCCCCCTGCATTTCTGGGGATCCTGTCTCTCTGCCTCCCAAATACTGAGAATATAGGCACCCACTATGACTGCTTGGTTTTTATGGCGATTCAGGGGACCCAAGCTCTGGTACTCATGCTTCTGCAACAAACACTATCCACTGAGTCAACTCCTCGCCCTGTACTAATTAATGTTATTATTATTTATACCCCAAATAGCATTGTGTTGTCCATTAGAAGTCATAGATTGAAGCAACAAAGCACAATCAATATAGAGTACCTTATAGGTTTTTCTTCTCAAAGAATTACATAAAAGTACCAAAGTAAGTCTAAAGAGAGATAAGCAGATGAACTCATGAGTTAGGCTTAATAAATTCATTCTGGCTGAGCACAGTGGTGTAGGTCTGTAATCCCAGCACTTGGGAGGTGGGAAGATCAAGAATTTGAAGCCAGCCATCCTGAGTTACATGACGCCTGTTCTCAAAAAATTATATAGATAGATGGGTAGATAGATGTCAGATAGAGAGATGGTAGGTAGGTAGGTAGATAGATAGATAGATAGAAGATAGATAGATAGATAGATGATTGATAGATGATAGATAGATGATAGAGATAGACGATAGATTGAGAGATAGATGATTGATAGATGATAGATAGATAGATAGATAGATAGATAGATAGATAGATAGGCAGAGCTGGAGAGATGGCTCAGCAGTTAAAAGCATTGGCCACTCTTGAAGATGACCTGGGTTCAATTCCTAGTATCCACATGACTACCAACTGGCCATAGCTCCAGTTACAGGGGATCCACTGCCCTCTTGTAGACTCCACAGGCATTGCATACATGGGTATACTTAAATGCAGGAAAAATGCTCATACATATAAAATAAAATTAAAAATTTAAGCACATAATTAATTAAACACATGTTCTCTGATTTAAGAGCATATTTTTGCTCCAGAGCAGCACATAAAAAATGGTTTATCCTGGGCCGGGTGTAGTGGCACATGCCTTTAATCCCAACACTCGGGAGGCAGAGGCAGGCAGATCTCTGTGAGTTCGAGGCCGCCTAGTCTCCACAGTGAATCCAGGCCAGGTGGGGCTACACTCAGACCCTGTCTCAAAAAGACCCTCCCCGCAAAAAAACTTTTTGTTTTCAGAATCTGGCTGTTGGAATAAAACAGATGGCCGAGTTCTTTGGATTCTCTTTAATGGATGAACAGATTCAAACCATCTCAGCCCAGAGCACCTTCCAAGCAATGCGAGAGAAGTCTGAGGAAACACATGGTGCTATTGGCCCCTTCCTGTTCCGCAAAGGTAAACTTGTTTGGGTTTCTGGGATGTTGTGTCATCTTGGAAATGACTTTGCACATAGCAGGCAACCCAAATAACTTTTTCTTAAGTGAAACAGGGTCTTGATTATTCTCTCCCTCAATAAGAAGCCTACACGTAGGCAGCCAGAGCTGTAACTGGCAGCTACCCACTGCCCTTATTGTCCTAAGTTCCCTCTGCTCTTCTACTTGCCCCTGGTAATGACAAGATAGCAGCTTAAGCTCCACCATTGCATTCAAGTCCAGGAAGAAATAAGGGAACAGCAAGAGGAAGAATGCTTTATGCTGCGGAATCAGCCCCTCATAGAGCTTTCTGGAAGCCCCATTCAGTAGTTTCTTTCATTCATTGACCACCTTTCTCCTTACTGCAGTGGTTGGATATATGATTTTCTTTTCAAGCAAGGTACATTATTACTCAAGTAAACCAGAATTTTGTTAATATGGAAAAATGAGAAAATGGATTTTAGGTAATTAGGTGTCTAACAAATTATTTTACTTCATTAAAGTAGCCTAAATTCTGCCAATCATAGTGATGAACATCTTTAATCCCCACATTCCAGAGACAGAGGCAGGTGGAACTCTGTGAGCCTGAGACTAGCCTGGTCTACATAGCAAGTTCCATGCAAGCTGGGACTACAGGAAGACCTCTCTGTCTCAAAAAACAAAACCAAACAAGAAGTATTCTAAGTTATTATCAAAGCATATAATTATTTGGCTTAGGAAGTTCCACTTTTATTTTTATTACACATATAATGAAAGCATAACAATTTCACATTTTAAAATTAAATTTAGTGTGTGTGTGTCTGTGTGTGTCTGTGTCTGTGTGTGTACATGCGTATACAACTGCATGTGTGTGGATGTCAGATTACAACTTTTATGGAGTCAGTTTTTTTCTTTCACCATTTGGGACCTACGGATCAAATTCAGATCTCTGACTTGGGTAGATAAAGTACTTTATCCACTAAGTCATCTTGAAGGCCCTAGAACAAGCTTTAAAGGCAGCACAGGGAACAACAAGGTTGATCACAACTAGAATGGGCACTGACCATGCACTGAGCTTGGAACTGGGACTTAAGATTCTAACACAAGGCTACAAAAGGCTAATTTTCCAGTGGAGGAAAAGAGCCAAAGCCCCAGGATCATGCTTTTCAGTCATCATATTTCTGATAAAACGTCAAATCAGGATTTGAGCAGAGTCTACTTTCTTCCACTTTTTCAGTTAACCCATTTAAAAAACTCCAGTGTGAGTGGAAGCTGAACCTGGCTTCAGCCAGATTTCCTGAATAACCCTAATTTAAAAAAATGTTATTTATTATTTTTATTTTATGTGTATGAGTGTATTGCTTGCATGTACGTGAGTGCACCCATGTCACGCGATGTCGTGGAGGTCAGTAGAGGGCTTCAGATTCTCCTGGAACTGGAGTTAAGGATGGTTCGTGGCTGCCATGTAGGTGCTGGGAATCGAACCCAGGTCCTCTGCAAGAACAGTCAGTGCTCTTAGCCGCTGAGCCACCTCTCCAGCTCCCATAACCCTGATTTTTATGCCTTATTTATTACCTTTAAGAAGGAGAAAATCAGACTGGAGAGATGATTCAGCAGTTAAGAGCACTGGCCACACTCCCAGAGGACCCAGGTTTGATTCCTAGTACCCACATGGTGGCTAACAACTGTCCTTAACTCCAGTTCCAGGGGATCCAATGCCCTCATCTAGCCTCCATGGGCATTGCATGACACAGGTGCACTTACATATATGCAGGCAAAACACTAATACACTCATATACCTATGAACTTACAGTTTCAACTAAAAATAAATAAATCCAAGAAAAGAGAAAAATCAAACTTTTGTATATATTGTTCATCAAGGACTATTCAGAACAGACAAATTCCCAAAATCAATAAAGTTTCTAGAAAATTTCTAATGTTCTTTGTAAAAAATCCAGAGGCTAGAAAAACTTAGAAAAGTATGAAAATACAATCCAAACCATTTACAAACGGCATCAGAATTTTAAATTTTTCCCATTTGTAGAAGAGGGGGCAGAAAGATTGTAGGAGCCAGAGGTGGTGGGTGACCACAAGGAAGCAGAGTTTTAGTTGGTCAGTTAATCATGAACTCACAGCAATGGTGACTTCATGCACAAACCTCATTTAAGCTCAGCCCAGATGAAATTCAGCATAGACATGGGGGAGTGGGTAAGAAACCCTAACCCTACCTATGAAGCTATTGGCAACCAATGGCTGCTGGGAAAGGCAGAAACAGTCTCTTTCGATGTCACTCTTGGTAGGCTAACCAGGTTCCAATGAATGGACATACACTGAAGGACATATGGGAACACAAATTAGACTCTATAGGCTAATATATATATTAGAGTACATTAAATTGGGAGGGGCTGTAAGGAAGGTGAAGAGAGTGAAGGGGATCTAAATACCATTAAGTTACAGTGTACAGAAAGTGCAAAAATTTAAAAATAAAACTTTTCTCCCACCGAGTCAGGTTTTACTTTTGCACGTGTTTCCTCTCAGCCTTACTTTGTTTTATATGGTTGATGGCATTTAGGAATAGATTTTGTGTCTTGTTTCATTTCCTTAGTGCATCATAACTACTTCTTCAGGTCATTAAACCTTCCTTATCAGCATACCTTTTGATGGCTATGCAACTCAGAACCTACAGTTTCAACTAAAAACATCCAAAGATTTCACAGTAGTAACTTTTATAAAGCATTTTTATTTATCGTGTGTGTGTGTGTGTGTGTGTGTGTGTGTGTGTGAAGGTTAAGGACAAATTAAAGGAGTCGATTCTCTCCTTCTACTCTGTGGGTCTCAGGGGTTGAACTCAGGTCTTCAGGCTTGGTAGCAGACATTTTTGCCTGCTGAGCCATCTTGATGATCCAAGTATGTATGAGTATATTGCCTGCATGTGTGTGACTGCACCCGTGTTGTGCAACGCCGCAGAGGTCAGAAGAGGGCTTCGGATTCCACTGGAACTGGAGTTAAGGATGATTTGTAGCCGCTATGTGGGTGCTCCAGCCCCAGGGAAAATTATTTTTTTTTTAAAAATTTGAAACAGAGTTTTACTATGTAGCACAAGCTGCCCTTGAACTTACTATGTGGCTCAGGCTGACTCAAATGCTTGATTGCCTTGCCTCAGCCTCCTCACTGCCAGGATTATAGGTGCTTAACACAACAATAGCAAATGTATTAATTTAATTTTTTTTAATTTATGAGACTGGAGAGATGGCTCAGTGATTAAGAGTACTGACTTGCAGAGGACCCAAATTCGATTCCCAGCACCCACATGGCAGCTAACAACCATCCATAACTCCAGTTCTAGGGGATCCAACACCTTCTTCTGACCACTGCAGGCATTGCATGACACGGGTACACTTACACACATGCAGGCAATACACTCATACACATAAAAATAAAATAATAAAATATTTTTAAAGTATTTGAAAACTTCAGAAAAGGAAGAAAATTATGCTGAAAAGTTGTGGTAGTGCATGCCTTTAATCCCAGTACTTGGGAGGCAGAAGCAGGCAGATCTCTATGAGATTGCGGCCAGCCTGCTCTACATAGCAAGTTCCAGGCCAACTGGGGATACAGGGAGAGCCTGTCTCAAAAATCAAAACACCAACAACAAAAAGTGGGATTTTAGATCCCCATGTTAGGAGAAAGATAGGGACAGGAGACCACTGAGATGGAGTCTTCCTTCCTCCTCATGTGTAAGGAATGTATGTCGCCTGCCAAGCACCAACGGAAAGCCGGAGTGGGTAGTGTTTGTCTTGTAAGAAAACTGTGTTACTTTTAAGACTATGTTGTTTATATGCGCATTTTTACATTTCAAAGTGAAGTATTATACCAACAAAGGTAAAAACTGGGTATGGTGGATGGTAAAACTAAGAAATAGTCTAACATTGTCTGAGTCTTGTTCTTTGTATGTTGTAGGTGAAGTTGGTGACTGGAAAACTTTGTTCAGTGAAACTCAGAATCAGGAAATGGATGGAAAATTCAAAGAGTGCTTAGCAGGCACTTCCCTTGGAGAAAAGCTGAAGTATGAATCATATTGCCTGCCTTGATTCTGACCAAGTCGTCTGACCTATGTGTCATCTTAATAGTAACTAGTTTCCTATAATTAGATAATCATTCAATCAAATAGTCAAATAATGATAATCAAGTAAGATGGAAATCTGAATAGTACAGACTTAATGATGGTAACATATGAACTTTTCAGCACAGATCAAAGTTTGTCTTCTCTTTGAAGGAATGGAGCACTATCGCTAATGTGTCATACCCGGATTTTTGCTTCTTTCATGCTCCAAATTCACATGATTATAAACAGAAACTATGGAGACATCCTAGATCTGTGCTGCAACCTAGACAAATGGGCTTCCAAATGCTTACATTTGTAGACCTTTCTCATAATAACTCTTTTCTCACTATGGATCAAAGTCCTTGAAGTTATTTCGGACATACTGGTAGGAAAAATTTAACCCCGGCTCTGTACTCACTTAAGGTTTGATTCAAGAAAAATGCACTCCTTACCCACTCCGTGCGTGCTGTTCCAGTAGGCCTGTAGGGGTTCTTCTAACTTTATAGTTCTACCTTATGCAACCGTAAGTCAAAGTTAAAGTTTACATTTTTCTACCATACAGACTTTTCTAACACGGGCTCACAACTAGTCACTTGGAACTAACAAGAGAACGTAGAGAACATTCTAGGAGGAATTTCCTGTCTGACGCTTCTCAACCATCCCAGCACTCAGGAGGCAGAGGCAGGAGGATCACCACAAATTCGAAGTCGACCTAGTCTAAACAAGTTCTAGGTCAGCTAGGGCTACATGGTGAGACTCTGTTTCCAAGAAACAAACAAACAACAGGAAAAAGACTGCTGGAAAGCAGTAAACCAATGAATTTTCCTGGACTTTACTAAGAGATGGGACTAGTTTACATTCTTGCTACAGTAACATATGGGTTAGAGCCCTCAGAACAGTCAGACCTTAGTAATGGAGCTTAATTAGCCCTGACAAATTAGTCTTAAATCTTCCATAACAAGGATTGAAAGTAAGCCTTAAAAGATTTGACATGAGCTGGGTGTGGTGGCACACACCTTTACTCCCAGCACTTGGGAGGCAGAGGCAGGTGGATCTTTGTGAGTTTGAAGCCAGCCTGGTCTACATAGTGAGTTCTAGGACAGCTGGGGCTACAAGGAGACCCTGTCTCAAAAAGACAAAAAAAAAAAAAAAAAAAAAAAAAAAAAAAAAAGATTTGACATGAACTAAAGGAACAGACAAGCAAGTAGTTCCAGAAAAATTTGACATTTTCAAAAGAAAATTAAAAAAGCAAAGACTTCAAAACTATGTCTTCCATCCAACTATGATTTTTCAGCTATACAAAGAAGAAAACATGACATAACTAAGAGTAAACACAATTAATAGAAGCAAAAAAATAAACAACTGAGATGATGGAATTAGCAGATGGTTTTAAAGAGTTAGCCTCCATTTTATAGATACTCTCAAAGAGCGGGTGGTATACACCTGCAACCACGGAACTTGGAGGCTGAGGCAGGAGAATCACCAGTTCAGTTGTCTCCCTATGTTAACTCTATGGGGACCTGAAGGCCCCACCTTGCATAGGTCGGAAAGGAAGTTACTGGGGGCGCAGCCTGGCTTGCTTTGAAAGTCTGAAGAATACTTCCACACTGCTGAGGAGTGCATGATCAGCTCGTGACCATCCTTAAGATACAGGGGGGGAGGGGGGAGTTCCAGGTGCCTTTATAAGCTTTGGAACACTTGCAATAAATGAGTCCCTGCTTGACTAGGCTCCCTGTTGTGTCTGAGTGTCCCCGGGTAATGGGGGTGGGGCTGGCGAACAGCGTGCTTACTCATCCCCAATCCTCACCTCGCCGGGGGTCGCGGGTTCGAGTCCCCGGCAAACTCAACAAATAAGTGTATGTGCTATAAATGGCTTCATATAGGTGTGCTCAAAGATATAAAGTAAAATAAACATGATGAAAAGAGAAATTAATGATTTTAAATGACTCAAAGGGAAGTTTTAGATGTAAATCCCACAATACATAAAATGAACAACACATGGAGTGAATAAACAGTACATTAGATGGCAAAGAAGAAAATACTGGGGGACCTGTCAAGTGAGAGAGAAAAAACTACAAACAATATGAGAGGAGATTTAGTAAGTCGTAAGTATGCATGCAATTGGAATTTGAAAGCAAAAAGATAGAAAAGGACTACATAAAAAGTTGAAGAAACATTATGACTGAAAAAATTTAAATTCAAATAACTATTAATTCACAGATCCAAGAAGTTTAGCAAATACAACATAATAAAAATGGCACCAAAACACAGCATAACACAGTGATGAACATCAGTGACAAGGATGGTAGGTTAAGCACAGCAGGTATGTCACTGGAAACTCTGTAAGTCAGAAGGCTCATTCCATGAGGGAACCCAGACCACTCACTTTGTCCATAACAGCCTGTTCACTCAGCATTTCCCCCACTTCCTTAATCACCAATCCTCTGAGCTCATTCCTTCATGGAGCCTTTGGATCTTCTTGACGGCCAGAGTTAGAGAGTGGATAAACAGGTTGCACATTAATCTACCCCAATAGTCTTGATTCCCTGAATTGGTGGGTGTTTTGTTTTGTTTTGAGATTGGTCTCTGGCCTGTGTTGGTCTCAAACTTGCTTCGTAGCTAAGGCTGACCTTGAATTTCTGATCTTCCTGCCTCTACCTCCCAAGTGCAGAGGTTACAGATGTGCACCACAGTGCCCCATCTCTGCCATGCTGGGACTAGAACCCAGGGCCATGTGCACACTAGACAAGTAAGCACTCTACCAACTGAGCTACGTCCCATGGTTTTTTGTTTGCTTACTTGTTTGTTCTGAGACAGGATCTCATGTCGCTTAGAGTGGCCTCCATTTTGCTATGTAGCTGTGGATGACCTTGAACTCCTGATTGTCCTCCTTCTATCTCTCAAGTGCTAGGATCACAGGGATGCTCCACTATGCCCAATTCTTCCTTGGTGTTTTTGATTTCTTCATCTGCATTAGTTGACATTACAATTTCATTTATTGAGGGCCATCACTGAGCTCAGTCTGTAGTAAACCAACTGAGTAGGCATTGCAGCCATGCCAGATGCTGGTGTGAACAGATCTATTCTTTGGGCCATCTTTAGAATCACTTCCATGCATATTTCCTGGATTTCTGTTAACAAATATGAGTAGCATGCCTTTGTTGGGTAAACTATCTCCTCGACATCAGATTGTCAATGTCCTTTTGGGGTACTTTAGCATCACATTCTAGTTGTAGGAGTGAATGGGGGTAGAGCAGGGTCATTTGGTGAACCAGCACCTCCCAGTTCTTACAAGGAGATTGTTTCAAGATTCCTCAGGCCAGGTGGTTGCCAGCATCACCAGACAAAGATTGGAAGACTTATGGGGACAGAAGAATTTGAGAGGGCAAAGGCACAAGGACTCAGCCTACTCCATCTATGTTCCCAGACTTCCTTCTTCCCATCAATCCCCTTCAATATTCACAGAAGAGGTATGATGGGTTTAAACTGTAATTCTCCAATTGTAATTGTCCAACCGATGTTATGGTGTGACATCAGACTCTGCACCTGAGTCTTATGTCAGCCTTGAGCGTATAGGAAATAGCAAAGACCATCTGGGGTAGACATTAAAGCTTGTGTGGTATGCTGGAGTTTGTCATGCTTTTCTCAAACTGTCTGGGGCAGGTCAGGGACTCCTTGCAACCAGTGTTGCTTCCACAGCCAGCCCACACTCTTAGAGCTCACAGTGGACCTCTGCAAACGCCTACCTCTGACAGAGATTTGTGTCACTTGGAAATGCCAAAGACAGAGGGCTCTCCCTCTTGTCTCCCTTCTAAACTTCCCACCACACCAGAGCTTCACATCAGAGAATATCTGGTATCCAATCTACCAGGGAAAGTGTAGCTCTGGGTCAATGTTGCCCTACCTTACAAAGAGACAGAAGAATGGTAGGAGTAGACAGAGGGCACGATATTTAAGGTATTTGAGGTCTGACTTGGAACTTGCTTGCCTCTGGGAGTACAGCCTCCTGGTTCTAATTCCAGCTCCCCTTCTTACTGGCTGTGTTATTAAACTCTGCTTTTCAGATCCCAGTTTCCTTAACTGTTGAGTGGAGATGGGACTGGCGCTTAGCTCAGAGTCCTGGTGTTAAGAAAATGCGCATTGAGCAGTGTGCCAGGAGTTAGGTGCTGGACAGTATGAGCTGGGTGCTTACAAGCCAGTGGGGCTCTAGGAATGTGTCACACTCTTTCAGACTGGTAGGATTTCTCATAAACCCGGACTAGTGGTACTGTGGTGTGATAGAATATTCCAGGAAGCCCTACCTGGAGCAGGTGGGTCTCCTAACCACTGGCCTGGCCTGATGGATGGTGTGTATCCAGCGGCTGACAGGTACCTGATCAGGAATGGACTAGTGGGAACAGACTGAAGGGAGATTCCTCCAACCTCTTCCCTCCTTCCCGACCATGCAGGCCAGTTTTCCCAAGACACCAGAGCGGAGAGGGAAGAGGGAGACTTTGATCTTTACTGACCAGGACTTGAGTCTTAGCTTTACCACTGATCCTCGGAAGGACCCTGTGCGAATTACTCAATTTCTCCGATTGCACACTGGAATTCGATAGCATTCACTCCCTCCGTGCACATCCATAAATATTTTCTTTGAAAAGTAAACGCGAAAAGGAAGCTCTGCAATTGGGGAGCTGGACTTTTCCCATTCTCCAGCACAGCCTTCCCTTGCAGTAGGGTCAGGAGCTGCCTGGCAGCAGGGAGAGGTGCAGATCGCGGGCGCTACAGCAGCTGGGGTGCCGAGGTCGCCCCGAGGTCCTTCCCGCGCGCGCGCGAACAGAGGCGCGCAAGCCTAGCCAACCGCGCGTGGGTGCCAGGAGGTGCGGGAGGGGCGGAGAGGCATTGCGGGAAGGCGGAGTCTGCCCGGAAAGCGAAACCTAGAGCTGACTGTCCGCTCTCTCGCTGGGTCTTCCGCGGACTCGAGCGGCACCTGTGAGCGAACAGCCACGCCAGCTCGGAGCCAGCGCGCCTGGAGGAGATCGGGTCCCAGAGCGCGGTTCAAATCCTGCATCCTGAGCGTGGGTCCAGCCGGGATAGTGGAACCAGGTAGGACTGGAACGCTACGTTCCCACGTCTCCTGGGCAGCGGATGGGGGGCGGGCGGGGGAGGGAGGAACCCAGAAGCCCGATGACTTGAAACTGCAGGGAAACTGCAGCCTGGGTGATCCAGAGATTGGCTAAGATTCTGAGGAGAGTCTCAGTAGTATCTGATTGGCGTCCTAGATGCCCACCCCGCATCTGTCTTCCACCCCCTCCTCTCCGAATCTGTCCTCCACCCGCTCCTCTCCACAAGGCTTCTACCTGAGTTTCCTTCAAGTCAGAATCCAACACTTCCCTGCTCTGGCCAATCCCAGAATCCTAGAAACCTGGAAGGCCACTGTTGCTTCCCTTTTCCTTGGTGCTCCTGAGCCAAGGCCAAGCACCCCGCAGTCCCTAGGCCTGGGCGCTGCCATCCACTTCCTGGAAACTCTTCCCGCAATTTCTTGCCTGGGCAGATCCCTCAATATCTCACGCTTCTCCCTGGGCCAACCTCTGTGAGCATTCTCCGGTGAACCAGAAACGCCAGTCTGTCCTCTCTGTCCCATGTTCTGTACCAGTTTTCAGCTAGTACTTGGCACCGTGAGTTTGTCTGTATTTCTCTACCAGTAAGATCACAAGAGGAGTTTCCTTCAAGTTTATAACCTAGCAGCCAACACACAGCAGGTGTCGTTAAATATGAGTTAGAGGAATATTAATTCATAAGTACCCTGAAATTACAGAAAGATGAGATCCCGTGTTGCCCACGTTCAGCACTAAAAGTACCTCACCTGTAGAAGCTAAAAGATGAAGTCTCTGCTGTCACTTAGGACCTTAGAATCTTGAGCAAGCTCAGTCATCAGTCAAGGGCCCAAACACTGCTTTGTGGCTTGTCCATTTGTTGATCAGATACTAGAGAACGCTTGTTGTATGGAGGCAGCTCCTGGAGGGGGCTGAGTCTTCCTGGGGCTACAGTCTGATGGAAGGGTTGCAAGGATATTGTCTTGGGAGCATTGTAAGGACGGTAGTATTTCTTAGTGATTATAATGGATGCTTCCCCAGGTGAAAGAGTGAGGTGTGGAACTGCTTCCTGAAGAACTGTTTGGTTTACAGAGCAGTTCTGGATGTGAGGAAGTTTGGTGTGGTGGATCGAGAGGGCTACAGAAAATCATACCAGCTGTTCCTGTGCCATCAAAGGACAGGCAGATCCTGATGAGTGAAAATTGCCTGTAGTCAGAGGGTTCCAAGTTTAGACAAGCAGATGACAGTTCATGGGGGTGGAGATCAGGAGGTATTTTGATATTCTTTCTTTCATTCATTTTTGTTGAGCCCCTGTTATAATGCTGGTGCCTTCCTCCTTTTTTAGCTGAAACTGTTATATTTGTTTTTTAGGAATAAATTTTTTTATTTTTAATTATGTGTGTCTGTGTGTGGGTATATCCATCTAAGTGTAGGTGCCCTTGGAAGCCAGAAGAGGGTGTTGGGTGTCCTGGAGTTGGAGGTACAGGAGGTTATAAGCCACCTGACATGGATACTAGGAGCTGAACTCCAATCCTATGCTAGAGTAGCAAGTGCTATTAACTACTGAGCCATCTCTCCAGCCCTATATTTTTTTAAATTTTGTTTGTGTGTGTACATATGTGGACACACATGTGCCTTGACTTGCAGAAGTTGTTTCTATCCTATCATCCCTACCAGGGGTCAAACTCAATTCATCAGGCTTGGCTAGCTGTCAGCACCTTTACCTGCTGGGCTCTCTTGCCAGTCCTGGTACCTTCCTTCTTGCAATTCCTGGACTGTTTTGGAAGATAGTTAACTGCAAATGCAACTTTAATGAGACAAGAGCTGTGAAAGTGAGTGGGGTTTTGAGCTGAGATCTGTCTCTAGGAAGGAAGAGCAAGGTAAGAGAAGGGATGAAGCTAGGCAAGGTAAAAGGGGTAGACCCAGCATTTCAGAAGGGAGAGGCAGGTGAAGAATGGACAGAGGGGTGTGGAGGTGAACTTGAGAACCCTCACTGTCTAGGCAGAATTTAAAACCACAGCCTGAAATGATTGCTAGGAGAAGGGGTAAGTGGAGACTTACTTAAGGACTAGACTCCTCAAAAATATTTAGATGAAAGAAGATGAAGAGGACCAGGACCAAGAACAGAGGCAGAGAGGACATAACTTGTGAAAAAGGATGAAATCCAAAAGAAAGGTATCTTAGAAGTCTAAGCTGAGAAAGGGAGAAGCGTGAGAAGGGAATGAGCAGCCCAAGTTGACTACTGGATTTAATGATGAGGAAGCCATTGCAAGGGCAAGGACTGTTCTGATCATTTGTAGATGCTACAGGATGGGACTGATGCTTTTAAAAAATCACAGTGTGACTCTGGTTTAAAATAAAGCAGGGGCTGGAGGGATGACTGAATGGTTAAGAATATTGACTGTTCTTGCAGAGGACCTGGGTTTGGTTTCCAGCACCCACATGACAGCTAATAACTTTCCATAACTCCAGTTCTAGGGGATCCAATGCCCTTTTCCGACCTCCAAGGACATTGCATACACAAGGTGCACTTCCATGAATTTGGGCAAAACAATCATACACATAAAATACAAATTAATTAATTAATTTATTTATTGAAAACAAAATAAAACAAAAGAAAAAACTAACAGTTTATGTGGTGTTGGGAATTGAACTTAGGACTTTTTTGTATGTGCTAAAAATCCTTCTACCAACTGAGCTACATCTCCAGCCCCACTAATCCTAACTTTTTAAAAATTTCCATTCACTAGCCTGCACTACTATCCTCAGGCCTCTTGGGGCAACTATATAGCGCAGCTCTCCGCACCGGGACTCCCTAAGCCTCATTCAC